GAGTTGGGTTTCGATATCAGTATCGAATGCGATAATTTTCCTCTGAAAAAACCACGAATTTAATACGTTGAATTTCTTTGTCAAAATCGGTAATTGAATTCTTTAGTCTCCTGATAACAGAATTGCGATGTCAAAATTGGAAAAAAATTACAAGTGGCTGAAAAAATGGAACCAATCGTTGCGATATATCGCACGTCGTTCTGACACAAAATATGGCGTCCATCGATTCACCTTGATGATGTGAGCATAATCCCTACATTAAAAAACGTCAACTATTTGTGGAAGGTAAAAAAGCTAAGATTTTCCTTCATTTTCATGTGATACCACATCACATACCTCCTCCGGCCACCGATGAAGAGCAGGCTTGATTTCCACATTCGACGATGTGAGCATAATGCATACATTTAAAAACGTCAGTTATTTGTGGCAGGTGAAAAGCTAAGATTTTCCCTTCATTTTCGTGTGATACCACATCACATACCTACTCTGGAGTTCGAATACTTGCACAATTGATTTCCTCTATTGAACGATGCGAGCGGCTAGCCCAATGCCTGCATTCATTAACGTTAGAAATCGGAAAATCCATGGTACCACGCGAGTTTCCCCGGCCGAGAATATGGAGCTCAGAATTTGCGGTAGTTTTTCTAAGCATATTTCCGCGCCTGAAGAAATTTTTGATCGCTTAATCAGAGAATGTTAAAATGAAGTAAATGCAACTGGTCAGAAAACAACGAAAAATCCGTGCTCTCGTATAAAGTTTTCCTGGCTGAGAATCTGGAGCTCGGAATTCGGAGGGCTTTTTCCGCGTAAGTGGAAATTTAAAATTTCATTTTGAATTATATTAAAAGTTACCTGGCAAAAATGCTACACATTGCTGGCATCGATCAGTAGAGGTTCCAAATATTTGGTTCTGATTGAGAGTAATATAGTAGTAGCTTTCGAATGATTTAGTGGTGCAGAAAGTTTTCAGTGTCCACTTTTATCGGCAGGTAGAGCATAATCTGCACGCCTACACTGCCGCGTTAAGGAAAAACGCCGTACGAACAATCGAATGTTACCAAATTTCCTTTCGGAAAATATTTATTTTTAAAGAAAGTTTAGACATTTTTCAATTAAAATGGTTAGACTAGGTATTCGTCGTCTCCCGGACGAAAGAACGTAACTCCATTCCAAGGTTGCAAAATTGACTCAAAACAATTCAATATTCAACAAGAATTGACCTGTGCAATTTTCGTGGAAAATTAGTCTGATTTTCGCATAAAATCAGAGGAAAAATCGGTGAATTTTCTAGTTAGAAATGTTAAAAATTCTCCTAGTAAAAATGCAATCTGCGCACGGAAATTTGGCAACATAGAAATGCAGTTACGTTCCTTCGTGCGGGAAACGATGTATTTAGATCAAGTTACGAGGAGAATTCTCTTGAAAATTGGGAGAAAAATATTGACGAATTTTCTCGCAAATGTCTGATTTATCAAAAGAAATTTGGCACCGGCTGACTCGTATACGGCGTTTTTCCTTGGCACAGCAGTGCAGGAGTTAAATTGATGAAATTCAAACACAAAAATAAATAAACTATGAGATACGTACCAGAAAAATGTTATCCAATTGCCCGACGCCAAGCTGAAAGCACTCACAACTTCACCACTGAGACCGCACTACGCACTAGAAGATTAGCCACGGAAAGGTTATACTTCGATAAAGAACAAATTTTTTAAAATATTTTAAGATTCGTCGAGAAATTGTTCATATGTATGAAAACGTGCTTAGCTTACTTAAATTCTGCCCAAATAAGGTGTTTACATGTTACAATGTAATTTACAGCGATAAAATAAAAATAAGATCAAGGTGAATCATAAATATAAAATTGAAGATGATAATGATAACCAAAAATTAGATCAAGAAAAATCTATAAATAAAATTGAAGATGATAATGATAATCAGAGCTAATCCTGAAATAATAAATACAATCAGGAGTCATTATTCTTCTGGATGATTAAGAAACAAAGACAAAAATTAACCACAATGGCGTGCCTCCTTCCATTGTAAAAACATCCAGTTTTGTAGAGGATGCAATCTTTTTTCAATTTTTTCCCCCAATTGATTTGGTTGAAATAGGAGTCCTAAAAAAAGGAACACTCGCATTGTCCATGTGCACGTGATAAAACATAACTTCATTAATGAACGTGGAACTACAAACATTGTTGGGAATTGCATCAATACTAATTTATCGTTTGGCTTGAAAACAGTCTGTAAGGTGTAATGTTTTTTTTCAATGACGAACTCGAGTTCGTCATACCCAGATCAAGGACTTTTCAGAATTCTTGAACATGAAATTCTTTGACTTTTTCATGCCTTTTCGATGACATTTTGGCACGGGTTCTCATGAATATGCTTTACACCAAAGCTTATCAGCGAGAGTTCTCTCGAGATTTGAAAAAATCGAAAATTCGAGCACTTCAGGGAGGCAGTTTTGGTTCTTGCCCACAGAATGTGTAAGTGCGGAAGAAATTAAAGACAAAAAAGAATGACAGAGAAAAATTTTCGACTGGAGGAAAGAATTTCAAGGTTCCGCTGCAAAAATCCCTGACTTTTCAAGGTTGCGCAAAATTCCCTGACTTGTCCAAGCTCCAGGTTTTCAATGACTTTATGGACTGTTCACCCTCAGCTACTCATCATCAACAGGGCTGCCGACACATTGAATCACGTTTCGCGAATATTTCACTTACCCGCTACTCACAGTTCTCAATTTTTCCCTTTTGTTACTCACTGTTCTCGATTTTCCTCATATTTACTTACTGTTCTCCTCACTCTTCACTCACCACTACTCGATTTTACTCACTAGTTACTCACTGTTTCTTGATTTCACTAAATCTTTACTCATCATTTCTCCATTTTACTCACTAGGTACTCACTGTTTCTTGATTTTCCTCACTCTTGACTCATCTTTCTCAATTTTACTCACTCTTGACTCATCGTTCTCAATTTTACTCACTCTTGACTCATCGTTCTCAATTTTACTCACTCTTGACTCATCTTTCTCAATTTTACTCACTCTTGACTCGCCGTTCATGATTTTACACACTTCTTACTCATATAAAAATCCCGCCAAACATTAACGAATTAAGGATCATTCCTCATTTCATCGATCGCCTCAATTATTCTAGTCGAGACACGGCAGGAAATTTTCTTACGGAGAGTCGAACTATACCTGCGAATTACTCATCCTACTCACAATTTACTCACTGATGCTCAAATAACTCAATGTGCATTACTCACGAATCGGCAGCCCTGGTGACATTTAACAAAACGACTTGTTTTAAAACTTTATAAGAAAGAGAAAAAAAGGGGCGAAAGATTTAATTGTTGCGATAGCAGCTTCATCTTTGTTTTTACTGAAATGGATGGCAAAGAGTTGCTCCAACCTAACTCACATTTACGAACAAAGACAAAACAAGAGCCGCAATATTGTTTGCGGGCCTACTTTCATTCCCTACTTTTACGAGTTGTCTCTGATTGGCTGATTCGCTTGGTGCCCATTTTCTTTCGAGAACCTCGTGGAAAATAACACGGGGTTCATTTTTCATCGGAAATATCTCGAAAACAAGGGAAAATGTATCCGTCGGAGATTTCAGAGATCAATTCTTCAGATTTTTCTGAGGAGATTGATGGGTAATACATGACACTTTTTTCTCAAAAACACCGAACAGTTCGACCTGGTATTTTGTTATTTTAACTTGAAATATGACACTTGCTTTCCGACCCCCCAAAACCGGAGCGAAACGGAGCGCCGGTTTTTCTGTTTTTTCTGAGGTGGCTATTACTGCTCTTGCTACTGCTTCTTTCAACTTCTTCACAACTGCTGCTACTGCTTGTTATTCTTCCTCTTCTACTTGTTTTTCTGATCCTCCTTCAGCTGCTGACGTTACTGCCTCTTTTCAGCATGGATCGAACCTTTTAAGTGAATGATTATTTCTTATTTTTCTGAAACTGCTGTTCTTGCTGATTCCTCTGCTGGTTCTTCTTCGTCTGCTGCTGGCTGCTATGTATTCTTACTCTCAAACTGCTATTGTCGCTGTTTCTGCTTCTGTCTGAGATGAAGATCATGAGTGAGTGAAGGCGAGGGATAAGACTCTCATGCCCTTTTGGATATGTTTTTTTTTTTTTTTTTCAAACTAGCGCGAAGGATTTTTTGCGCAATTTTATCCTAACTTCAAGGAAGAGATAAAACTTTCAATTTTGTAATCAATAAATTTTACAAGACCATAAGCTGAACTGCAGTTTTCATGATGCTTGTCTTTTTACCCCTCCCATGTAATATAGCGTTTTTACCCCTGAAATCAGATTGCTTGATATCAATAAGTTCCCCCTTCTATCCCATTATACATTCTGGCTATGGTAGGTATACTGCAAACACTGGAGAAAAAAACGCATTGGATCTAGAGTCCAGACTCTTAAAAACATCAACAAGAAAAATACTCTTGATTCAATCAGATTTAAGCTTAAATCAAGAACCAAGCCTCTTAATTTGAGCGGATTTCTTTTTGATTTAAGCTTAAATCTGATTGAATCAAGAGTCCTTTTTCTTGTCAATGTTTTCAAGAGTCTGGACTCTAGATCCAATGTGTTTTTTTTTTTTTTTCCAGTGAATCAGTGAATCAGTCGATCAGTCAACCAGTCAGTCGATCAGTAAATCAGTCGATCAGTCAACCAGTCATTCAGTCAATCAGTCATCAGTCAACCAGTCATTCAGTCAATCAGTCATCAGTCAACCAGTCAGTCAGTCAGTCAATCAGTCAACCAGTCAGTCAATCAATCAATCAGTCAGTCGGCCACAGTAAGAAGACCAAAAAAAAGAAAAAAAGGAAAGGAAAGAGAGGGTGGAAAGGAGGGAGAGGAAGGAAATGAAGGAGAGGAAAGAAAGGAGAGAGAGGAAAAGTGAAAGAGAGAAAGCAGAGGCTGGTAACCATGCCCCAATCTGGGCATCGGGAGCCAATACCAAGGTCATTGACCAAGGATACAAAGGGCACCTCCACGGTGCCCGCAACCATCCACCGGGGCAGACGTGCGGCCGGGGCGGTGTCTGCAGATCGCTCCTCTAGTGCCTCCAGACGGTATACGACATCCGCCGACCGGGCGGACGACCGCGCGCCGGGCGCTCCGACGAGTGCTCGGTCGGACGACAGAGCCTCCAACTCAACTTCACTTTCAGAATGAGGCTAAAGGCCTCAGCCTGAAAGTAAAGCTGATACGGAAGCACTGTCATCACGGTAGAGCAGTCGTTGGAGCGTCCAGCGGGTGTCCACCCCCTCGTCGGACGTCGGTACGACTCCGCCGACCGGGCGGACGACCGCGCGCCAGGCGCTCCGACGAGTGCTCGGTCGGACGACAGGGCCTCCAACTCAACTTCACTTTCAGACTGAGGCCAGAGGCCCCGGCCTGAAAGTGAAGCTGACATGGAGGCACTGTCATCACGGTAGAGCAGTCGTCGGAGCGTCCAGCGGGTGTCTACCCGTTCGTCGGACGTCGAACCGTAAGAAGGCACTATGACCGGAAGTGACGGCGGTCGTCGGCGTTGTGCGTCACGGCTGTGAGATGCACGTTGCGGCTGAAACGGAACTTCCGGGACCTCTTTAGGCTCGGGTCAAACTCCCAGTGGGGAGCCCGATTCTTAATTTTGATCGGTAACACCCAACGTACCCGAGCTCCACACTGTGCGTTTGACCCGAGCACAGAAGCCGATTACACATGTCCCGCATGGGGGCCGACACAACGAGTCTATCTCGTCGTATCGGCTCCCATTTGGGACATGTGTAATCAGCTCTTCTAACCTCTGCACCCTTCCTCTATAAGGCACTTACCCTCGAAATGTTCTTTGAGTTGATGCTCAAGTGCTTTAAACTTTTACTTTTCTTACGAGTTACTAGAAAATGAACTCTCAATTATGCCTTAACTCTTAAGTATTTAAATTGCAGAGATGTATAAAGCCAAAGTTGCTGAGGCATCTCTTTTAAATAAGTAGTAAGCTACTGCTACTACCACTACTACCACTACTACCGCAGGCATGGAAATTTGTATTATGTCAGTCAAATGCATGTTTTCCTTCTTTTAATTTTTTGTTTCCATGCGAAGAAGTTCGCATGAAAAGTGCACAATTCTTTCAGATACATTAGCTAAAGAAACTACCTAAAATCTTTTGATTAAAAAAAGAAGGGGGGCCGAAACATTCTGAAACTACTATAACTGTATGTAATGTATAAAGTCGCTTTTATAGCGCTCTTTGGCGCTCTGCGACCCCTAGCCGCCAAAGTCCCCTATCCTCTCAAAGCCCTTCAGGGAGTTGACAAACCCTCATTTCTTCCAAAACCCCCTGTCGCCACCCTTTCACTGGGCGTCCCCTTCGTCTCCTCCCAGGAGGAACCCAATCAAGCAACTTCTTTGGCAGCCTTTCGTCCGTCATTCTATTGGCATGACCATACCAGACAAGCTGTCTGGTCATGACGTCGAATATGATGTCATTTTCGACTCCCATGATCTGACGCACTCTTTAATTGCGGACCCTATCTCTCTTTAACTACTTGCACAAATTAAGTTAGAAATTTAAATAAATGTTGATAATCTGAAAACATTTGCTCAAACAGCTCGAGCAAAAATTTGCGTTAACGTATTTATCGGGAGCTTCAACTATCACTT